CCCCCCTTCCCCCACCCCCCCATTGGGTTGACTTTGAATTAAAAATGGACTTTTGAAACAAGAGTCAAAGTAATTTCAAAATAACTAAATGAAACATTGTGGTAGTGTTGGAGTGATGGTGTAGCCATAATACCATGGGGATACTATTTTTTACTGGACCTTCTATATGGTTTAGATGAGCTTTCAGGCAAAAAGGGACCTTTCCTCAAGTCTGACCTGCAGAATTGCTCAGCTCCAGGGTAGCGGAGGGAGGGGGATGTTGAGGGGAGGGAATAAGATGGGAACCTGGCTGGGTGCTGCTCCCCACCTATGTTCAGAGAGGGAGAAAATGTGCAGCTGGAGTTACAGCAGAGCTGAATTTGGCAGACAGGCCTGCAAAGCTCAGGGGGATGACACCCAGGGCTGTCCTTCCCTTATTCCCTTGAGTTGGTGCCTTACTCACAACCTGTTGCCTCTCCTCCACCAGGGGATCCACTACTTGATTGAGCATAAGGTGCTGTCCTCAGACTTACAGGATATTGCCAAGTTCCTCTACAAAGGAGAAGGCCTGAACAAGACAGCCATTGGGGATTACCTGGGGGAGCGGTGAGTCCTGCCTTGCTCATTAAACTCTCTTAGACTGCACTAAGCATGGGACCCAATTTCAGCCATCAGCTTCTAAGATGAATGAATCATTGTTACCCATCATGTGGACAAATAAAGCTGGTACTTGCCCTGGGGGAGCCCTGCCTAGTTAAATCCAGACTACATGAGATGGATGAGATCTCAGCTTGTAGTAGTTTTCTCTGAACATGCCGGGGCATTGCATGGCAGGTAGATGCCCTGCCTGTATGGTCCATTTATGGATTATATTGAGGCAATCCCCCAACATAAAAATAGTGCAAAAGGGTCCTGGCTGAACTTTGTTGGAGGGAATGGCATGAGATGACCCAAGGAAGTCAGAATACGGAGGAGCCTAAACCTAACTCTGCTGTGGGTCATTTCCTTGGGGTATATCATAAAAGAACGTAATCATCATCTCCATCTTTCCTTCCCACCTCTTCATTCTGCCCTGTTCTCTCTACCAGGGACTCATTGAACATTCAGATCCTGCAGGCTTTTGTGGAATGCCACCAGTTTGCCAACCTGAACCTGGTGCAGGCGCTAAGGTGAGTGAGGGCCCAAAAAGAGAGCGATGTGGTGAGAGTGGGGTGGGTTCTACAGTCCCATGGCCATTGTGCCCCATCAGCTTGCAGAGAGAGACAAACCAACACAATCCAGATGTCTCAGGACTGGGTGGGTGGCCCAGAGCTGAGATGGAACTTCCCATAGCCTGCTGTGGGAGGACCCACCTGCTTTCAGACATGGGTGTCTGACAGCAGCAATACAAGGGAGCCCGTTTCCCAGGGGCAGCGTGTCAGTCCTGTGTGGGGTGTTGGGGAAAGTGATATGCATTTCCCAGGGGAGCATCTTGCCGTGGCTACAGCCCCCTGGGTTAGGAAAGAGGAACCTCTGTGTCTTAGAAGGGCCTCTTACTCTTTCATTTCCACTGGGGTGTTTCATGATGCACCTGGGTGGTAAGAGAGAGAGGCCACTTTTTCCAGAGATGGGTGTGTTGGGGGACCATGTGTGGTGAGATAGGGGAGAAGGGATGGTGTGTCATGAAGAGGGCAATTTGTGCCCAGGAGGGTTTCATGTTGCTCTTACATTTCCTGTGAGGTTTTATTGTACTATGTTGCGCTTCACTGGGGAGGAGTGGGACCTCTATTCCACATAAGGTGTTGTGTTGTGTTGTGTTGTGTTGTGTTGTGTTGTGTTGTGTTGTGTTGTGTTGTGGGAAGACTCCCCAGTTTCCATGGAAGAAGGGCTGCTGATCCTGTGTCGAGGGGCCATGGAAAATGAAGCTTGTTCCTACCTGTCTGGTTGCTCTGTGACCAGTCTGCTGCCTTGGTGTCATTTGCAGGCAGTTTCTGTGGAGCTTCCGGTTGCCTGGGGAGGCCCAAAAGATTGACCGGATGATGGAGGCCTTTGCCAGCTGGTACTGCCAGTGTAACCCGGGTGTTTTCCAATCAACAGGTAGCCATGAAGGAGGGAAGGGGTGGCCAGGGTGGGCACAGGTGAGGGGCTGTGCTCTACTATGCACCAAATGTAAAGGGCAGTGTTTGAATAGCATGGGTGGTTCCCCTGGTTTTATTGTACCATAGGTACTGGGCTTTAGCCTTGCTTCCCTGTTATCCCTGCCTTGTCTTAAGCCTAAGAGAACAGAGGAGCTAATGCTACTGAAATCAGAGCCATATCCCCAGCTGGTGTAAATCAGCTCAGCTCTGTGAAAACGAGCAGTCCACAGTTTTACACTACCCGTGGATCTAGTCCCAGATTTTCTAGCTTTTCATTTGATAAGAGGAGTTGCCTCCTGTCATCTTAATTTCTCTCTCTGCCAACTGCTGTCTCTGATTTTTCTTTCCTGCCTTCTTTCCTCTTGCCAGTCCCTTCTCCTCCTTCCTCTTGTTCTATTCCTTCTTCCCCTCCTCCATCTTGCTGATCTTTCTTTCACTTCTTGCCTCCATCATGCACTCTCTTTAGGTGTTAACCCCTGCCAGTATTGAATATCTCATCAGTTTAGTGTTCTGTGCATTGACAGCAGCAGGCCTGTTATGATTTGCATATAGAAAGCTGTTAGTAGCAGGGTCATGATAATGTCAGCTCTGTCTATCTCCATCAGGAGTGTAAGCCCAGACAGCAGCTCTGTCTTTTAGAAAGACCACCCCCATCTATCATCTCTGTACAGGAAAAGTCCACATCACTCCTAGGGTCCACGGTGTATTTATATTCTGATGGAGCTGCCCCTGTTTTGTGCATGTTGTATCATACACACTAGTGGTGTCCCAGTAACTGTCCTCCCACCATCTTGTTCTACCCTTCTGTAGAACAAGAAAATCCAAAAATGACATCAGGAAGTTAAAAAATAGTCATATCCTCCTTCTGGGTCTTTTGTCCTTTCTACACACACACAGAGCTGGCCCTCAATAGGCTCTGAGTACCTGTTATTAGAATGGGCACCCTCTCAAGATCTCCATGGGATCCAAGTACTCAGAACTGGAGACCTAGAAATAGGCAATCCTTCCTCCTCATATGACATGTCATAAGACATTGGGAGAGCCCAGGGATGGAGCGGCGGGTCCTGTCCACAGTGAATAGAATCCAAGTTCCCTTTTCTGGAACCTGGATGGGTTTGGAGTAGCTGTCCTGGCCTGGATGTGGTGTTTGGGGTTGTGGACCCTGCCCTGCTCATACCCTCTTGTGCTGTCTCTCTCCTTCATTGGCAGACACCTGCTATGTGCTGTCCTTCTCCATCATCATGCTGAACACCAGCCTGCACAACCCCAATGTGAAGGACAAACCCCCCTTTGAGAGGTTTGTGTCTATGAATCGAGGCATTGACAATGGAGGGGACTTGCCTGAGATGCTTCTTAAGGTAAGAAGTGCTCTGGCCCTTTCTGCCTTTCTGCTGCCTAGTGCTGGGTGGAGGGAAATATCAGACCCTCATTAAGTCATTGTAAAGCCCTCTCTTTGTGATGTACTAGGGATCGGATGAAGCACCATCCCTATTTCGGTGGCTCTTCCTGAAGCCCCTGATCCCTAAGGGTGACAGAGTGCTGCTTTTTCCCCACCTCCTCACTGGTGCTGAGCTCATAGAAAGCCTCAAGGCCACTAGCCCCAAGGTGAGCCACAGACCCACTGAGGAAGGAATAGTTGGTGGATTTTCCTTTATTTGCCAAGTATGGCTACTCCAGGAAGGGACTGAACATGTTTGCAGGACAAATGAGAAAGGGGGGAGAGCTGCTGCCTAGGAGAGAGCCCATGAATGCCTGCTTGCTGCTGAAGGCATGCTGCAGAGCAGGAGAGCATAGGCCTGAGGGGATAAGAGAGAAATTACGTGAGAGAGAGAGCACACAAGCATCATAGTGAATCTGTGAGGCCTGTGCATATATGTAAGTCAATGTGTGCCTGACAGGTTATGAAAAGGGGTGAGGGAGATTACGCTTGTGTATGCCTGTGTAGTGCATGTGTCTGAGACTGTCCCTACCTGTATGCTTTGTGGGGCTGGGCTTTCAAAAGGCCTAAAAGAGTGAGGTGTCTGGTTCCCAGTAGTTTTCCAAGAGAGATGGATACATTTCCCTTCACCCCCTTTAAAAAACACAGCCTTTGTAATATGATCAGGGCAGAGACTGACTTATCTCATGTGGGTACAGAACTTAGCCCATTTGGAAAAGAGTATGATGTTGTCCTTTTCTTCCTGGTCCACATTCTCACACCCTTACTGACCTACAGCAGCATCTCTGCCATGAATATCTCCATTACTTTCTATAAGACATTCTATAGAGTAAGAGTTAGTGTTCTGTGCATTGACAGAGTAAGGTGTTGGTATAAATAAGCGAAGTAGAGCCTGGCCTCTGACTGCAATACAGGTTTGTATATGACTGTCTTCTCAGACTGGAATTTGTCAGCTCACGGAGAACATGGGTATATAGGAGGATCTAGGATTTTGGAAAGGGGGGGAGTGCAGATGGTGTAGCACATATAATACAACAAACTAATTAGCATGCTCCGGCAAACTCAATTAATTGAGTTTGCTCCAACGCGCTGTAATTACAGCACATCAGAGCAGCCTCCCAGCACATCTACAGGCCTAGCTGTGCTGTCTCATGTCACTTCCCTTTGGCCATTTGGAGGAAGTTACAGGAGCCCTTTTGTCAAGAGTTTGCATAATGAATGATGTCAGATCCCAGTAGCACAACTGAAATCCCTTTCCAGAATGAGAAACTGGAATCCCCCTCCCTATTACGCTGCTATCACATACGTGGAAGGGATCAGGGTGTTCCTGGTAGCTCATAAGTATGATTAGGCTTCTCATTGCATCCCTCCACACAAAACATGTCCTATGCATGTGCAAGATGGGGTAGAAGTGTGTGGCCATGCCAATTGTTGACTTACAGGAGTGTCCCCTGCACATTGTATACACGGGCATATGGTGAATGTGGGAAGCCTGATTTTTTTTGCATATAGGAATCATTCCTATAAGGGTGAACTTGTGTGTGTACCTGACTCATTGCTTTTAGGAGAGTTCCTCTTAGGCTGTGCTTGCGGTGCATGCATGTGTGGTGCATGCATGTGGTGCATGTGTGTGTGTGCATACATGTGTCTATACACAGTTGCTTACTGGACTGTTTCTTGAGAATGGAGGGTATGCATGTCTATTTTACTAAGGTCTGGTTGGGGCTGGGGTGTTAAAAGGAGACAGATCACTCCCCTTTCATCCTTGACTTGAACATCAAGGAATATCATGTAGCTGGTGGCCTCTGTTTGTCCACATGTCAGTGCAACAACGTAAGACAGCCTATGCCAGCTTTTTAGCATTCTCTCTCCCTTCTTTTCCATGTGTGGGGCAGAATCTCTTTGAGAGCATCAAGAATGAGCCATTTTCCATCCCAGAAGATGATGGGAATGACCTCACACATACTTTCTTTAACCCAAGCCGTGAGGGCTGGCTCCTTAAGCTGGGTAAGAGCAATGACTTTATGCATTTCTCTAAATTCTCTTCTCCTGAAAATCTCTTGCAAAAGGGCCCCTAGAGTCTCCTAAGCATCAGCGTGGATGTCTGCAGCAGTAGCCCTTCCTTCCGCTGCAGTGGGAGGAGGCTGACACCTGGTGTTCAAACCTGCTGCCTGCTCTGTAGCTAGAATCCCCCTTCCTGCAGCTCTAGCAGACTGTCGGCTTAGAAGTGTGTTAAAAATGGTGTCCCCCTGCACCCCTCCTCCCACCTGTTCTGAGCTATGCCCAGCTCCTAGCCTACCTTCACATTCCTTCTTTCTGTATGGGGAGGAAGCATTATGTCTTCAAGGATTAATCTTCAAGGGGTGCTTGAAGTGAGGTGGGGAGTGATGGTGTATGCAAGACTTAACAGTTTGGACCTTGCTGCCCTTAGGAGGCCGGGTGAAGACCTGGAAGCGACGTTGGTTCATCCTGACTGATAACTGCCTGTACTACTTCGAGTATACCACGGTAAGGGCTGTGCTTCAGTCGAACAAATCTTAACCAGGCAGCTGTACTCCTGGAGAAGAGGGTGGGGAATGTGGGATGGAAACATTTTCTCGTTCCTCTCTGGATTGAGTTTAGACCCTGCCGTTCCCACCCTCAGACTCTGGCCATGATGGTGAATCTGGCTGCCAATCCAGACAGAGAAAAAACAGCTGTGTGGCACTTCCTGCTAGCCAGAACTGTAGCTACAGCTGTAGCCACAGATGTTAGGTGCCCCCTTGCTTTACTAAGCTATGTTTGTCAGGGGCCTGCTTTTCCATGACTACTGCTATTTTACCTCGCTAGGTCTACCTAGCCTCTAACTCACAACTGTTCCTGCTTGGCTTCCAGGACAAAGAACCTCTAGGT